GAGAGAGTTCTGCCTCTAGGAGGCCTCCTTTTGAGCTTGGCAGAGTGGCCAAACTAGCCAATTATAGCATCAGAACTCTAAGCACCTGAGAGAGAGCCTCCCATAACATTGTGTTGTGCCACGCCCAACAGAAATGACCCAGGTGGATAACATTTACAATCAGGAGCTCCTCAGTTGCTCATTCCAGCACTGAGTTTACAATGACTTATGGGTAGAAAAGCCATACTAAATAATTTACTACACTGCAGATGTATAAAAAAAAAATAGCAAAGCATACTTCTAAGATAGGAAACTAGGGATCAGGTGGGAAAGTCATTTATGTTTCAATCTCTGTTTAACTTTTCAGCTCTTTAATTTTTTTTAACCAATGTATTCTTAAAAACTGTTTTTAAAAGTTATAGTTACATTTATATTTTTCACTTATATATGCTCTATTTCTAAGATTTCTATGAGTAGTTTGGATGAGGTCAAGGAGTTCAGTGTGTCATGGAATTTCCACGTGATTATATTTGTCTTAAAGGAGCTCTGGTGGCATAGAGGGTGAGGAATTTGGCTGCTAACCAGAAGGTCAACAGTTCAAACCCACCAGCTGCTCCACCGGAGGAAGATGAGGCAATCTACTTCTGTGTAGACTTACAGCCTTGGAAACCCAATGGGGGTCGCTGTAAGTCAGAGTCAACTTGATGGCAGTGGATTTGGTTTAGTTTTAGGTACTTGTCTTAAAGATAGTCCTAGTGCCAGCAGTCCCTGGTGTGCTTCATTCCTGAGTGTGTCTTTAAGAATTTATAGGTAAGTCAGTACAGATGTGTACGGTCCTTATATAGCCTTACTTTAGTGCAAGAAGCACCTCTGGTAGTATAGTGGGTAAGGCTTTTGGCTGCTAACCAGAAGGTCAGCAGTTCAAACCCACCAGTTGCTCTGCAAGAGGAAGATGAGGTAATTTACTTCTGTAAAGATTTACAGCCTTGGAAACCCAATGTGGGTCGCTGTGAGTCAGAATCAATTTGACTTCAGTAAGTTTGGTTTGTTTTTTTTTTAGTGCAAGAAGAAGCCCTGGTGCAGTGGTTAAAGCACTCAGCTGCCTAACAAAAGTTCTGAGGTTCAGACTTACCAGCCACACTGTAGGAGAAAGATATGACAGTTTGCTTCTGTGAAGATTTACAACCTTGGAAAGCCTATGGGGCAGTTCTTTCCTGTCCTATAGGGGTACTATGTGCTGGAATCAACTAAGTGGCAGTGGGTTTTAGTGCAAGAAAAAACTAGAAGCCTTTTCAGTAATTTAAAACTCTCATGCAGCAAATAAAGGTGATTGTGATGAAGAATTTGTTGCAAGCAGGAGTTGGTTCAATCATTTTCAAAGTCAGGGCAAATTTTAACATTAAAGGGCAAGTATGTGGGATGTTCATTATCCGGGGACTGCCTGTACTTCAAAAACAGTGTAGTAAGCAGATTCGTAGACCTCATTTTCAGATGTAAAGTTAGAAATTTGCCTCTCAGAATACAATCTTTGTATGGAGTTTGGGGTTTGGGATTTGTGTATTTGCCTAAACTTGATGGGTTGTTCAGGTATTAGTAATGATGACATTATTCTATAATCAAGCAGAGAAGTGACTAAACATTTTTACTTGGGAGTTTGAGTGCTATCGAGAAGGAGCAGTTTTGTGAATGTAATGAAAGATTATATTTAGAATCTCTTCCCAAAATTCTCAGGGTTGTAAAACTTACTCTGGGAAAAGTCTGAATCCAAGTGGTCAATAGTTCGTTAGAAGTTATTAGTGCAAGACTAAGGCTGGAATATGTTCACCATCACAAATTCATAATGTCAATATCTCTGTCTTTAAGTTTCTGAACACTTTATAAAGATGAGCTAATAACCAGCAGCTTGTTTGTCTCTTGATGAGTTTTATGTGACTTGTAAATAAATGTATAATGATGACATGTGTTTTCATTTTTAGCTTTTTGCACTGATTCCTCCTCTCTCAGACTAAGCACTCTCTACCTGGTCAAGAGTCACATGGCTGCTCACTATAATAAGATCCTGTCAGCCAAAGGTAAAACTGTGTAACTGTGAACTCTGTACCCCATTTTAGCTTTCAACTTTACTTCTCATTAGAATAAATCTATAGCAAAAATGAATACATTGTATAGAGAAGGATTTGTGCTTCCTGAAGTAAGTAAAATATAGTTGTTTAATTAACAATTATTGACTACTATTTGGGAAGCACTGAGTTTCTGTCTATGGTGATGGAAAATTTGGCAGCAGATTTTGGTGATGATCATACAACGTGATTGATAGCATTGGTATCACTGAATTGTACACGTGAAAAATATTAATTTGACAAATGTGTTACATTTATTTTCACAACAATTAAAAAAGAAAGTAAAACTGTAAATAAAAAAGCAAAAAGCTATTGACTAACTTTATATACATAGCAAATTCAGAATACCATTTTTGTTAACTGTATTTACAATCTACATAATACCTATGTTATTTCATTTTATCTATATTATCCCTAATACTGGGAGCTCTGGTAGCATAGTGGCTAAGGCACTTGGCTGCTAACCAGAAGGCTGGCGGTTCAAACCCACCAGCCACTCCTCAGAAGGAAGATGGGGCAATCTACTTCCGTAGTGATACTGCCTCGGAAACCCAAGGAGGGGTCGCTATGAGTCGGGTCCGACTCGACGGCACATAACAACAACAACAACAAATCCCTAATACTATTTTGTGGCTAGATATTGATATTAGTACCAAAGGTTTATAATCATTTTGCTTTTGAACTCACTAAAGTTACACAAAGAAGATGCTATGTGGTATTATTTTGTTCTTTGTTGTCACCTATATTGAAGTATAACTCACATACAGTAAAATGCAGTTATTTTAAAGAGTACAATTAAATGTTTTGACAAATGTGTATATTTTTATAACCACCATGCTATGTAGTGGGGGTCTGCTAACTACAGCTTACAGGCCAAATCTTCCTGCTACTTAATGTTTGTAAGGTCATAAACTAAGAATGGTATTATATTTTTAAATAGTTGGAAAAAATCAAAAGAAAAACTACCTTGTGACATATGAAAATCACATGAAATTCAAATTGCATTGTCCATAAGTAAAGAATACCACCAGGTTTATCCTTTCACAGGTTGTCTCTGGCTGCTTTTGCCCTAAAATGCAAAGCTGACTAGTTGTGACAGAGACCAGATTGCACTTTGTAGACTAAAGCAGTTACTCCCTGGCCCTTTGCAGAATCGTTTGCTGGCCCCTGGTACAGAATCACCCTGGAAAGTTCCCTCTACTCCTTTGTACTCAGTTCTCTCCCAACAACCCCTGGCAACCACTGATACGTACCCTTTTTATCACTATAGTTTTATCTTTTCTAGAATTTCATATAAATGGAATCATAAAATATGCATCCTTTTGGGTCTTGCTTTCAATTAGCATAATGCTTTCATGATTACTCCATGTTTGTTTTGGTATATCAGTATTTCTCCCTTTTTATTGCTCAGTAGTACTCCATTTAATGGATAAGCAACAATTTGTTTATTAGTTCCCCAGTTTGTAGACATTTAGAACATTTTCACTCACTTTTGGCTCTTATCAGTAAAGGTGCTATAAACATTCACATGTACTCCTTGAACATATGTTTCCATGTCACTTCAGTAAATAACTAAGAGTACAGTTATGGGGCAATATGGCAAACAGTTGGGGTCATCATGACTCTGAATCAACCTGAAGGCAACTGGGTTTTGTTTTGTTTTTATGTGAAGTGTACATTTGACATCATAAAAAACTGCCAGACTGTTTTCCATACTGTGAAATGGTGTGTGGGAAGAAGCATCTGACATCCTCTAACCTCACAAGGGGAGAGAAGGATCAAGATCAGCAGCCCCAGGCTGATTCCTGGGTTCAGAGGTCAGATATGCCTCCATTCTACCAGTTTTGACACCAGCTGTCCCTCCCATGGCACTCTCTACTTTTCTGCTGGGTTCAGTAATTCTAATCCATTGCAAGGCCACACAGAACTCATAGATAGTATTCAGATTATGGATTTATTATGGAAATAACAGGCTACAGTTCAGGATCAGGATGCTCAGGATACAGTTCTTCAATCAGGACAGCCTCCCCTCAGCCGTACCCAAAGACAGGTTTCTCTCTGGTCCTCAGCCCCTTGGTCAGGCCTCTGCCCTCCTCAGGCAAGTGTTACAAAGCTCTTTTTGTTCTGCCTAGAGGCACCTCAGGAGCCCTGGTAGCATAGTGCCTAAGGCACTTGACTGCTAACCAGAAGGCTGGCGGTTCAAACCCACCAGCCACTCCTCGGAAGGAA